GGTTTCTCGCCCAAATGACGCATTTGGGCTCAATGTAAATGTAATATTAGCAAATACTACAACTATTTACTTTCAACAGCAGTAAACATTAGCTGTTTCTAATGAAAAATTACAGATTTCCTGCTGGGTTACACAAGGCGTTTAAAAATATTAAGCCATACTGGGAGCTAAGATGTTTACTCATCAAAAAAGTCCTGGACTCCAACATTTTTTTACGGGTTTTTCTTCTTGAAAGTGTTTTAATTTTGGTCAAGGTGTTAATTAAAAAAGATTTTGACATTTTTGGCCAAAAAATGGATTTGCTCACCGAAGCTCTTGGCTCAACAACAATTTTGAAATATGAGTGTTTTTACTCTCAACAAAATATGCGGTCTTGCATTATGTTGATACGCGATTTTCTATTTTAAACGACTATTTATATTTACACAAAATAGGCTCCAAAGGGTTAAATTTAAGTCATTCTGATAGTTAAATACTGCATAGGGATGATATTCATTTCTGGGTGATGCCTAAAAATATGCTGTGATGAATGGTTTTAAATGCCTTATTTCAGACAAAATCGATGCTCGCTTTCGCAAAAAAAACATACTTGACTTTGTCACATGAAAACTTATCTTAAGAATATGAAATATAGGTCAACAAATAGAAAAGGAATAAGCTCTACGGTGTTTTGTTTCTAGTAGCTTAACTAACCACACCAAACTCTTATTAAGGGAGGTTAGATTCGAAACTATGCAAATGAGCTTTTGTCTGTTGCAGTAAAGTATTCTACTAAAGCGGCGATGGGCACCGCCTCGCCCGCGGGCAAATGCCTTTTAAGCTTTCTATACATTTTGTATAGGCGGGTAGGGGGAAAAAGCTCTCTCTGCTCATCGCTGGACTAAAGGTATGTATAAGAACCGAAAGACATTTGCTGCTACTTTAAATTCTATATTCATCGCTGAAAGTAATTGTATTCTTCGTTTTGTATGGAATCAGAGTGTGGAGCTTTTTCTGATAAAAGTTTTTTGTTGTGTAGTGTTGATCAGAAGAAGGTTTTACTCTGTGCATGTCCATTATAAAACAGCGACAACCAGAGCTTAAAATTTATATAAAGCTTTTCTCTCTGAATAAGATTTGGGGGTGACTGATATAAAAAGTTCATGAAGCTCTAGAAAAGCTTGGCATATCTTACGAAACAAACAAATTTGGATTAAAATGTAGCCAGCAAACGAAGTTAATCTATTTGGGTGACGATCAGAGAAAGCTTTTGCCCTGTAAGCGTCTGTTTAAAAAAGTCACAACTAAAGCCAGTGCTGCGGTAGAAGCTTCTTAAAGCTTTCAGTATATAAGTAATGGGCAGAGAGAGATTTTAACTTTGAATAGCTGTAAAGTGTTTAGAAAGCTTTTTTACGTTCTTTTAAGCTCTACACGATCACCACTAGCAAGCTGTTTACTTGATATGCCACTCATTTATGTAGATTTGTAAAAGTTGTCTTACTCATATTATGATTATCAAAATCAATGTAGGGCTACGCTTTCATGACTTTGAGATATTGCTTTTGCGGTTTTTGAACTAATCAAACTACATAATGACATTCTATGATTTTCATACCTACACATGCCTCAAAGTTGAAACTCACCTCACGCGCTTTCGTAATGCATATTCAAAAATTATAGCAAACATTTATCACATATCATAATAATATCGTAAATTATTACGTACAAAAGTAAATACATACTGTGCTTAGGTACTATAGGCCTAACCTACAAAAAAATTAAACCTATACTAACTTTTTTAATTTAAAACACTTTTTTTTAAAGCCATCTGCATTTTCGTACACACTTTCAAGTGATTAATTTCATAGAAAGCAGCAGCAAATTGCTTAGCCTACAACGAAAAAAATCTACAGCTAGTATTGCGCGCATGCGTGGCCAGTTTACTTCATTTTTTTTTTGTTTTAACTTAAAATAGAAAACATAAATTTAATACTAAAATTTCTTCACAAATTAAATAAAAAATAAATAGTTTCTTCTTTGTTTTACAAAATACCAAAATAAATTTAAATAGCCCAAAGCAAGGTTGTTTTTCCGTATTTTCTAGTACAGCTAATATTCGCCGTTTGTTCTAACAAATTTTCTTTTTTAATTTCATACTTTTTTCGACTTTTACAATAATTTTGACGCTGCTAACGAGTGAATTGCATATTTTGTGCATTTGCAGTTGTATGTATGTTTGTATGTTTCTCTTTCTGATTGACACTTGTGCGTATATTTACAAATAGCGCATGCGCACGCGCAGTGCAGCAAAGCGTCTGAGTTTACACCTTACACATCGAACTTTGCTCCGCCGCTGCTGCTCTGCTTGGTTCCACCCTCCCCCCAAAAAACACAGAAGCTTATACCACTTATCTAGTATTGCTCTCACACACACAAACACATTTTGCAATTTACGCTGTCGAATCTTCAATTTCGTTGTCGATACGCGATGAACGTATGCCTGACTTGCCGGTCCATGGATAGATGTCGGGACAGGGTTGACACGTTTTCATATAACGTACGCCGGATTTGTGCCAGAGATTGCAGACCTTGGGGTTGTTGCAACGCTTCCGACGGTCCTGTAGGTGCGAGAAGGAAAATTGATTAATGGAAGCAATTTTTGGAGATACTCTCAAAGAGAATTTTGGTTTGTTGGTACACCTACCGAGTAATCACACGAGAATGGCTGGAAGGAATTGATGCGCGAGAGTGGTGTTGGATCACGTACCCATTGCAACATTTGCCAATTGGTCACAATCCAAACGTCTGGCAATTGATTGATGGCGTCTAAGAATTTGATGAAACCTTCTTTATGGTGAGGCTGCGTGAACCAAGCCGCATGGTAGTAGAGACCAAATGGAGCTCTGGAGGTTAAAAAGAAAAATTAAGGTTACTTAATTCGCCTTCCTTTTGCCTTCCACACTCACCTGTTTGTCGTGTAGTGTCTTTCGAAATTCTTCATAATCATTTTGTAAACACCATCCGATTCGCTGGGATTCGAACAGGCATCACCCATTGAACAACGTCCACCGTTCAAGTCTTGCCACATCACCATAGGCACTTGCCATACACCCGGATAGCTGCGCGTCGGGCAGGGTGGTATCATGCAGTCGTGGAAGATTTTATAGTCGAAGGTGTAGGGCCATGATGGTGGGCGATTTTCGTACACTGGCAGTGATGAATCGTAGGTAAAGTTTGAGTCGTAAAGCATTTTGTACATTTTATTGCCGCCGACCGAGAGGAACGGCGCACGCATACCACGCACATTGGAGAGCTTGACACCACCATAGGCGGCGAGAATTTCACGCTGGCCGGCAATCTCACGCGTCCACTTCTTTTGCGAGAATTGTTCGCCGAAGCTGTGACTGTAGGTTTTTGGTTTTTAGAAAAGGATGGGGTGAGAACAAAATAGGTTAGTTGTATGTTTTTAAGAGTTTCGTGTGCAAAAATTTAAGGTGCGGAAAACTAGTTATTTTCAAGTTACTTGAAATTGGAAGCAGTGTTTGATTTAGTTTATGTCTATACCGCCACCGAATCTCTTTAATACAAGTATTTTGGATTTTTGGTTATAAAAATTAAACAGTTAAAAAGGAAAAGGATTATTACATACAGTCAATCAATAAAGTTTTGGTACGGCGATTTTTTTTTTGCATACGGGCAACTGTTTTTTAATTATTTTATTTTTCGCATTTTTTTTATAAAAATATGGTTAATTCTACGACCAAGACCTCAAAAATCCGAGCTCCAAACCTTGTGCAAAATTAAAGAAAATTCTGCAAAGTTTCATCAAAATATTACGCTTTTTAATTACACCCTTCAGAAAATAGCTGAGTATGCAGTTTTTAGCCCATTCGATTTTAGCGTAATAATGTGCATTATTATCTCCATATAAAAAAGAAAAATTGAGAATTTATTTATATGGAGAAAATGAGCGACACCTTTAACAAAAAAAATTATCAAATATCATTGGTAAGTCCTCGCTACCTGAAACTTGCACTTTATTGTACTAAAATTGGATGGGCTAAAAACTGCAAAAGAGTGTAACTAAAAAGTTCAATATTTTAATGAAAAATTGCAGAATTTTCTTTAATTTGAACAAGGTTTGGAGGTCTGATTTTTTGAGTTTATGTTGTAGAATTAAACATGTTAAAAAAAAAATTTGCGAAAAATAAAATAGTTAAAAAACAGTTGTCCGTATTCAAAAAAAAATCGCTGTACCAAAACTTTATTGATTGATTGTAAACAAAATTCACCACGTAAAATGGAAGCAAGTTAGCAAGTTGCAAATAAAATAATTAGGATTTAGTACTTGAAAGATATGTGTGAACTGAATATCAGAAAAAAATAGCATTTAGGGATCACCTTTGATGAAAATGCTCGATATGTAGACTCGAGTTATAATTATAATCTTATAATTATTATTGAACTTTCAGGAGGAATTTTACTTTTTAAAAATCCAGAATGTATATTAGGGTGCTTTTTTTCGGCGACTAAAAACAAGCAAGTTCCCTGAAAATTTGAGCATTTATTATTAATATTAAGTACTCGACGAAGATTTCCCGTTCAAAATACATGTAAACTTTGATTGTTTTTCTTCAAAATCTATAGCTCAGAGGTATTTTATGGTATAATCTTGGTCAATGATAGCATTTGATGCGGTGTAACCCTAACACCCACCAGCGAGTTAGTACAGGTCACTAAACCCAATATTTTCATGAAATTCTAGTTTTTTCGCCACTATCCCGTAAATAAATGGAGCTAAAGAAAAAATACTAATGACAGACTTCTAGATAATTCAATTTCCTATAAAAAAGGTTTTAGAACACCAAATCGCTAACATCGATATTTCTTGAGATATTGGTTTTAGAGTTTTGCTACAAAAAAAATACTTTTTTTTCATTTTCTTTTCATTAACAACCTTTTTTTATTCTTATTTTAATTTGGCCAATCAATTAAGAATTAATCCGAACTGGCGTATCAAAGATGATAAAATATGACTTCAACTTTGATAAATATATCTAAAAAAACTAGTGCAGACACCGATTGGAGTGAGTGGAACGTGAGTTTTCAGGTAGTTTTTAGCGAAAACTGGTTTTCGTTTAACAGATTTTACATGGTCGAAAACACCAGTTTTAGGCCGAAAACCAGTTTTAGCAACGAAAACATCCCTGACGGAAACAAGTGATTTTTTTTAAATCAACAAATTTTAAGACCACTTTAAAAGAAATGCAATCAGTAAATTTAATGTAGTAATGAATTTTTATACTCTTTTTGTGTGTCTTGGAAGTATGAAAAAGCATCTGTGAAGTCCAGAACGCAAGCGTATTCAAAAGAAACAAACTGACTTTGAAGTTGTGTAAACCAAATTCATTTTAAAGTAGTTGAAATTAAATGCAGGAAAAGGCAAATGACTGCTTCCTAGGACATCGCCATGTTAAATAAATGAGTTCGTTGTAGGTAAAATAGTGAGAATTTCAATTAATTATCATTAAAAATAAAGTAGTTTATAAATTAATTTAAAACTAATTCAATTTCCTGCAGGGATGTTTTCAATGCCGGTCAGAACATATGGTATAAGAGCGCTGCTCATCATCGTTTTGTATCAGCAAAAGGCATCGCCTTGCTGACGCGCAGAGCTTTTTTGCGCTTTCTGTACATTTTCAATTGACGCGTGATTAAAAGCTATCTCTGATACTATATACAT